AAGCATTCTGGGTCAGATTCTAGGTCAAACAGGACTTTTCTGGTGGCAGGTGGCAATGACCTAACTGAACTGGCTTAACTGAAATTAGCATTATTGACATAGGTAGCTGGAAAACCCAAACACGGGGAGGCCCAGAGTGAATGGGGCTAAACGCTACTGGTCACCAGAGCTAGCTTCTGTCTTGGAACTCAGACCACCTCCTCAGATGACCGCACTCTCCTCTGGTGGCAAGATGGCGGTAGCAGTTCCAGGCCTTACATCTGCTCAGCCCTGAGGCCATGGAGAAACACGGAATGCCTCCGGTTGACTATGGCCATACCATCTCCGAGTCTGCTGCTGTGGGCAAAGGAATGCAAGGATTGACGAGGTATAGCTGTCATGCCTTTGACTGGGCAAGGCTTGATGGGGTCAGCCCCAGTCAAATCACACGGGCTGAGTCGGTGAGCGAATCAAGGTGGGTTTCAAAAGAAGAGCTAGCGGATGCTGGTCCACCAGGGACTTCCAACAAAGGGGAACCTACGCCACAGTGCCACTGCTGCTAAGAATCGGCAGCCACTGAGGCCCCCAGTCCCGTCACACTGAGCACTTTACTCATGGTCCCTCAGCCCATATCCAAAACCACAGGCCGGGCACTCCTCATCCATGCGGGCAACGACTGTGTATCAAGCACCTTCTGTGCGCCAAGCCTTGTTCTAGGTGTCCGGGCATCCCCACCTTCAACAGTGAAATAAGCCACGGTGTGGAGGCAGGGAGTTCCTCCCGAGACCCCGAGACCAGGGACGGTAGGGGAGGGCTTAACTGGAGGCAGCTCTTCAGGACCAAGGAACCACACCTCGGAGTGCAGCCCTGCACAGCTAGGGTGCTGCGGGTTTGTGGAGCCTCGGAGTTGGCGGCGCTGCGGGTAGTGAGGGAGTGCGGTCAGAGGGGAGGGGAGGGCTGGCAGCCTCGGGAGGGCTCGAGCAGACGGGAGGCGTCGTGTGGACTGGACCCCGCCAGCTGCCTGTAAAAAGGAGGCTGCGGCCTGGGCGGGAGGCAGGGGTCCCGGGAACGGAGGCAGGGACGGGGACCCGGAGACGCAGGGGATGTGCGCAGGGGCAGGATTCACGATGTACTCCGGGCAGAGCCGGCAGTAGAGGGGACAAGGCAAAGAGCCTCGTCTACGCACAAGAAAACCTGGGCCGGGGGTCTGGAGCCGAGATGGGGCTGCCGTTTTCCAGGGCGCGACCGGACAGTCCCCCACCTCTGTCCTGTGCGCACTGCCTCGGGTGGCCGGGGGTGCGCGCGGCGGCCGCTGGCGCTGCGGAGAGGCCGGCGGAGACCGGGGTACCCGGCGTGTTTTTCAGGAAGGAAGCCTTCGCTCCTAACAGGCTGGGGCTCGGCCCGACCCGCGGCTGCCTTGCCAGGAAGAGCCCAGTCCGCCCCCTCGAGGCGCGTCCGCAGCGGGCACTTTTGAGGACAGGAAGTGAAGAGGTGACCTGAGCATCCACGCAGCTGTGGCATTCGGGGACGGGCGGAGGACGGGAATTCTCGCCATCCTCAGCGCTGGGAGTGACTCCAAGCCCCCGGGTGGGGGTTGGGGTGGCCGGGCACAGCGCCCGGCTCCACAATGCGTCGCCTTACCCGGCCGGAATTCCTGCAGGACGCTTTGTTCTCTGATGGCAGCGCTGCTAGAGCCATCGAACCTGTGAGGGGGCCTGGGGGCAGGCCAGAGCCAGGCCTCAGGAAGCCCGCAGCGGCTGCGGAGCTGGTCACTGCCCCACGTGCCCGCCACCCTCCCCTGGGAACCCCCACCCGCCGGCGCCACAGCCCCCCCCCCCAGCGCCCCCGCCCCTGAAGCCGGCTGGAAACTGGTCCAGGTCCAGCTGGACAAGCTGTGTTAACTCCAGCTGGGGGGCTTCGCGGAAACCACCCATTTCCTGCGACCGTGCAGGCTGTCTGCAACAGAGACCACCCCACCAAGCTCCCTCCTCTCTCTCCCACCCAGCCCTCAATGGCAACCTACTGGACACTTAGGGGGTGGTCTCTGGATGGCCCCCAGTGGACACTCTTAAGACCTGTCCCGGGACCAGCCCCTGCCCCAGCCCTGGCAAGCCGTGTGACTGTGACGTCAGGAGAGCAGCTTAACCTCTCTGGGCTTCAGCTGCCTGCTCTAAAGGAGGCCTGAGGCTCCTACTGCGGTGCAGTAAAGCAAAGCATCCCTGAGAGGAGAGCTTTTCGGCTTTGGAGAACTGAAGCAGAATGATGCAACCAGAACAATCTGGAGGGAAAGCATGTTAATTTCAGTACTGCCTTGTGCTGTTACTTTGGTTGGAATTTTTTTTTTTTTTTTTTTTTTTTTTTTTTTTTTTTTTTTTTTTGAGACGGAGTTTCGCTCTTGTTACCCAGGCTGGAGTGCAATGGTGCGATCTCGGCTCACCGCAACCTCCGCCTCCTGGGTTCAGGCAATTCTCCTGCCTCAGCCTCCTGAGTAGCTGGGATTACAGGCACGCACCACCATGCCCAGCTAATTTTTTGTAGTTTTAGTAGAGACGGGGTTTCACCATGTTGACCAGGATGGTCTCGATCTCTTGACCTCGTGATCCACCCGCCTCGGCCTCCCAAAGTGCTGGGATTACAGGCGTGAGCCACCGCGCCCGGCTGGTTGGAATTTTTAAAAACAAGCACATCCAGCACTTACTCTGCACCCCACATTGCTCTAACTCCTCACCTGCATGCAGGTGCCAGCAGCAGCCACCTTGCACTCTCCAACAAGGGGGCAAACACAGCAAGGAGAGGTGGATACGGTGCCCAGAGCCAGGTCACTGACAAATGGATGTAACCCTGGCACCTTGGCCCAGGGCCCACAGTCGCAGACACTGAACCACATGCCCACATTCTTAAGACCCACTTTTTTTGTTTTTTGGACAGAGCTTCTTCTTGTTGCCCAGGGTGGAGTACAATGGCACGATCTTGGCTCACTGCAACCTCCGCCTCCCAGGTTCAAGCAGTTCTCTTGCTTCAGCCTTCCGAGTAGCTGAGATTACAGGCATGCACTACCATGCTGGCTAATTTTTGTATTTTTAGTAGAAACGGGGTTGTGCCATGTTGGTCAGGCTGGTCTCGAACCCCTGACCTCAGGTGATCCGCCCACCTCAGCCTCCCAAAGTGCTGGGATTACAAACCTGGGCCACTGTGCCCAGCCCAGGACCCACTTTTTAGAAGAAAGTAGATTGTTCCCCAGAACTGCTTGCCGGGGTGATGTGCACATGTGTGAGAGTATGAGGGTGTGTCTGTATGAATGTGCATCTGAGTGTGCACTGAGTATGTGTGTGTGGGTGTGGTGTGTGTTGTAAGAGTGTATTGGTGTGTAGGGGTGTGTGTGTGTGACTGTGCGCATGAGAGTGTGTATTGTGTGTGTGAGACAATCTAGAAACCCCCTGAGAAGAGCTGGCAAGGAACTAGAGAGTGGGGCAGGGGTGAGACTTGGAGATGTGCCTGAAAAACTTAAAGCACGGTTAGTCAAAGTTGAATTGTTTTTCTAAAGTCCTAATATAAACAACATGTGGGGCAGGGCCCAGATGGTGCCCGGGAGCCCCTGACGGGGTCCTCAGGAAACAGGTGCTCCTGGAATGTTTCCTGCCGTGGGGCTGTGGCAGCAAGCAGGTCACCAGGCTCTTTATTACCATCAGGAGGGCCCAGCTGCAGCTCTGTCCAGCTGGGTGGAAAGCCATGGCCATCGGTCAAAACAGTGCAGGCCTCGGCAGGAACAGGCCCACAGCTCTGCATGCCCAGCTTCCCCAGCCAGTGTGGGGTGCAGCCCTGGGCTGGGACCCAGTGTGAGGATGCTGTGCTCCACCAGCTCCATGGGGTCAGTGGCAAGAAAGTTATGAGCGTCCTTAATTTGCAAAGCTATTGCCAATTATTTCCCCAAAGTGTGGGACCACCAGCCGTGGATGCTAGGAATTGCTTCTCTATACCTTCTACGAGTAGGGAGTATCCTTGCCAGTCTGATAGAGGACAATGACATCTTCTAAAGGAAGGATTTTGAGCAGAAGAGGGAGCACAGCATGCATATGAGTTAGGAGGGTCGTTATAGTGCCCAGGTTGATTATAGACTAGGGTACGGTTAGGATTGTTTCCAGTCAAAAAACAAACAAACAAACAAATGACTTCAGTGATTTAAACAAACAGGAATTTTTTTTTTTTCATGTGAGAAATCTCAGATGCTGTTCAATGGCTGAGGCATGCCTGGCTGAAATTGCTGTCAGTCTCTTTCCTCATGGTCACAAGATGGCTGCATTAGCTCCTGCATTAGATCCATGTTCAAGGCAAGGAGAAAGAGGAAAGAGGAGAGGCTGCACCAGCTGAGTTCCTCTCTTTTTGTCAGGAACAAATATATGGGAATTCCATTTCTGTTTTAAATAGCTTTTCAAAAGCTATCTGCATAAGATATCTGCTAATATATCTTAAATTATGGGCCAAAACCGAGTCACATGCCACCCCCAGCTATAGTGAAGTCTGGGAAGTATTTGGCTGTCAGCCTCTGTAGTGAAAGGCACCAAGGGAGCAGAGAGCTGGGGAGAGACGCTGGGACAACCTATACAGCAGCTATCTGGCCTTGTTGCTGTGGGTCAGCCACGGCCCTGCCCCACCTGGCTCCACTGTGCAATGACCCCCAGCCACCCGCACACAGCTGTGCTCAGTGCTAGAACCAATGGGAGCTCAGCCCGCAACACCAGGAGCGTTCTTGGAACTCCAGGCGGGCCTCTAAAATTATCTGCAGGCTTCTGGTGAGGGTTACGGGGCAACTTCCTTGTCTGTCCAGTGTGTGGGAAGCCAACTAGGTCTCAGGCCTCTAGAATGTTCCACCTGCTTTGGTCTCTGGCACCCAAAGGAAGTCCAGTCCGGGGTTCCAGAGACCCACTGGTTCCCGCCAGCCCCATCTCAGCATGGAATCCTGTCTAGAATGACCATCTGGGCTGCACCTGGCTACCAGGCTGCTGTTTGACCACCTGCTCTACCTGTCCATCTCACTCTCCTGATGTGGACTTCCTGATGCCTCCTGGGCTGGCGCTGACCCCTCTGCCTTGCCATGGCTGCTGACGTCTTACTGTTGCCCCAGGCTTCTGTGTGTAGCCACACAACCCTGGGGTGCCACCATCCTTTTAAATATAATGTTAAATCAAAAGAGTATATGGGAACTCCATTTCCAGCAAAAGGACAGCGGGCAACATGCAGTCATTGTTCTAATGACCTCTGCCACTTACACAGCACTTAGTATACCCAGACACCGCTCTGAATGCTCTATGTGCCTGCCAGCGACAGCCCTGTGTGGTGGTGTGGTGGGAATATCAGCCTCCCTGTTTCACAGATGGGAAACTGAGGCACAGAGGTTAAGTAGCCTGCCCGGATCACACAATCATGATGGCCTTGTATTTCCTAGAAATGGTTAAAGTATACTAAGTATCTTTTCAAATGCATAGCAGAGGTTGCAAAAAAACAAAATAAAGGAATATTCATTAGAGTCAAAAAATGGAGGGGCATCAAGAAGGTGGAGCCCAACCCCCACCCCCCCCCAACTTAGTGTGAGCTACACGTGGTGACTTCCTTCCAGGGAGCACAGCACGGAAGCAGAGAGAAGAGTAACTTTGTAAACAAGAAACCTGTGTAAGGCAGGCTCACCCGCAGCGCTGAGTCATGTTGACAGCAAGTGCCCTTGCTAGGAGGTGATGAGCAGGGCGCTTACCTCTGTGGACATCCTCCCCCTCCACACGCCATCCCAGTCTAACCAGGGGAAAAACATCAAACCCCGACAGAAGCACATACTACAGAGTGCCTGACTGTGCTGCCTGGAACTGTCAAGGCATCCAAAACAAGGGAAGTCTGAGAAACTGTCGCAGCCACGAGAGGAGCCTAAGGGGACAACTGAATGCGATGGGGAGCCCTGCACGGGATCCTGGGGCCATTGGGTAAAATGGAGAAGCCTGGACGAGCCATGGACTTGAGTTACCATTACACTGCATCGGCCTCCGCTGGCTAACGGTGACAAGCGCACCACAGTAAGAGAACGTTAACACCAGGGGAAACTGAGCCTGGCGTCTACGGGAACTCTCTCAACATCTCTGCAACTTTTCTGTAAATCTAAAACTGCTTTAAAATAAGAAGTTTATCTAAACATAAGCAAAGGGCAGCTGAAAACTCCAGATGCAGCACACGGAAGCAGGCCCAGCGCGGCGAGGAGACGGAAGCTGTGGAAAAGAGACCCCACATTGGAGGAAGGAAGGAAAAGGCTCTACAGTATACCCATCCAACAAGATTCCCGAATGGAGGAACTGAGAGGCTGGGCGGGAGTGCTTACTTGAAAAAACGATGGCTAAGAACTGTCCAGCCAGTCTCGATTGAAAATGTAACTTCTCCAAATGGAGAAGCAAAAACCCAAAACCCTATAAATAAAACTAAAGCAACACGTGGATGCGTCACAGCGAAACTGCAGAACTCAACACACAGAGAGATGTGTGTGGCAGACGCTGCGGCTCCCAGACCGCCCCCGCGCCAACCCGTCCAGGTCCAGGATGAAGACCGGGTCCCCAGCGGCAGCAGTACTGGCGGCCTGGCCCCCTGCTGTGTCCCTCTCCAAGAACAGCTGTAAGCTGAATGCAGCTGCCTCTCCCGGCTTCCCCATGGGCACAGCTGATGCCTCTCCCCGCTTCCCCGTGGGCACAGCTGACATGGAATGGCTGGTCCAAGTGGGGACCCAAGAGCCCAGCTCCAGAGCTCCCCAGGGGGGTCCACTGAGGTCTATGCCAATGTTGCTACCTTTGCTCCCTCACAGGCGCTGTCCCCAAGAACACGCCCTGGGACACTCCCCAGAGTTTGTTTTCTGGAAAAATCAGCCGACATCAAGATCTTCGTTAGTGTAGTTACACAATTCAAATGTCCAGGAGCCCAGAAAGTAGAAAGGTGGTCGCTAGGGGCTTGGGAGGGAATAGGGAGAGTTGATTGGGACAGAGCTTCAGTTTGGGAAGATGAACCAGTTCTGTGGATAGATAGTGGGCATGGAAACACAACACTGTGAGTGCACTAAATGCCTCTGAACTGGTTAAAATCCGGCCGGGTGAAGCAGCTCACACGTGTAATCCTAGCCTTTTGGGAAGCTGAGGTGGTAGCATCACTTGAACCCAGGAATTTGAGATCAGCCTGGGCAACAAAGCAAGGCCACACACCTATTAAAAAATTAATTAATTAAAAATAACATTAAAATGGTTAGAATCATAAATATTACATTATATACATTTTGTATACATTGTATACAAAATTATACATTGTATACATTATATTACATTATATACATTTACATTATACATATATAACGTAATATTTATGTACATATTACATTATATGCATATACATATATAATGTACATTACATTATATACATTATCTACATATATATTTATACAATAAAAACTATCAAGTAGCCCAAAGTATAAAATCAATATCTAGCCGGGCATGGTGGCAGGCACTGTCATCCCAGCCACTCAGGAGACTGAGGTGGGAGGATCACTTAAGCCCAGGAGTTCATGGATGCGAGCTATGATTGCATCACTGCACTCCAGCCTGGGCGAGAGTCTGAGTCCATACTGCTATCAATAAATGATTGAATACATTCATAAATGTATTTCAGAATGGCATCCTTGAAAGAGCTCGGGATAGAAAGGGGGAAAGGGTAGCCTTTCAGAAGGCGGGAACCTGACAGACACGACCTGTGCCAGGCGGTCAAGGCCAGCACCACAGCAGCACATCAAGTGCCAGTGCCAACCTCGGATATGACGTGATGAGAAGGGAGCTTTGAAGTTCGCAGAGAGAGCTCCTGTATATCCCACAGCCAGCGCCCTCTATTAATATTTTATGTTAGCATGGTGCATCTGTCACTATTAATGAGCCATACTGATCTGTTGTTAACTAAAATCCATATTTTATTTAATTTTCCTTAGTTTTCACCTAATGTCCTTCTTCTGTCCTAAGACCGCCTCCAGGATACACATTAGTCATGCTTGAGGCTACTCTGGGCTGTGACAGTTTCTCAGAGTCACCTTGTTGATAGCAGAGGAACAGGAGGAGATATAAGGTAACTCCCTGTACCAAGTGCTCAATTTTTCCACCAATCTAAAACTGTTCTATAAAATAAAGTCTATTAATAATAATGTTTAAAGTACCAAGTAGCACAGGGTTTATAATAGAAGGCAATGGCCTGATCCCTCTCCCTGGGAGCAGTCAGCCTTAATTAGTTCTGATTTTGGTTTTTTATTATAGTCACCTCCATACATTTAAATACTAACCCTAAAACTACCATTACGACATTTATCAACTTAAATCATGCTCTGTTGACTGCCTACCAGGACAGCCGAGCAGGACAGTCAGCTAAAACCTAGCTGCCACCACCCACGGCTCCTCCAGTTTTATTTAATATGTTAATTCCTCCATTAAGTAAAACTGGAGTTATCAACCCTCAGTCTTCCTCGTGACACCTTTGCAATTTTTGCTTCATCTGTTTAGTGCCTACCTGTGTTAGCATTTACTTACTTCTTATTCTTTTCATTGATTTGCTTTTTAAAATGCAAGTACTTTAAAAGAAAGCGTTTACTTCATTATCATTCTTTAAATCTTATGCTAAGACACATTTAAACTAGTATCCCTGCCCACTGGTTTCCTACCTGAAAACCCCATAAGCACTTGTCCCACACTTTCAACTTTAAATGATATACTTAAACCTCAATCTGCTTCCATGTATTTTGTCATCTCTGGAGGAGACAACTTCCTCTCTCCCCACCCTTCCCAACCTGCCCCTCCCTCAGATCTCCTACCTTGGTTAACAGCAACTCCATCCTGCCTGTCATTCAGGCCAAAGCCTCAGAGTCGCCCTGAGCGTTCTCTTTCACACCCCAAATCCACCTGGATTTCTAATGGGCACTGCAAATCTAACTTGACCTTTCTGGAGTCGGCAGTTGGATTTATGAGCCTGGAGTCAGGGGAGAAATTGGTGCTGAAGATAATCCATTTGGGAGTCATGAGTGTGAAGATGGCGCTTAGTGAAGATGGTGCTTAAAGACATGAGACTGAGTGAGGTCACCAAGGGAGTGGGCAGGTAGAAAAGGCTGGAGGGCTGAGTCCCAGAGCACTCCAAATTCCAGCATCCCAGAGATGGGAAAGAACCAGCTTTGAAGGCGGCTTGAGAGACACCGGCAAAGGAGATACAGGGTAAGCTGGTAACCTGCCCTCTGAAAATAAAAAAATGAAGGCACCGATTTGTAGAGTTTGCCCATTTCATGGTGTAAATGTTCCCACCATGGTCCATTTCAGGCTACTAACACGGCACCAACGAACAGGGAGTCAGGAGCCTTGCACATAGTCAACTCTTGCAAACTGCTATAATATGAGTTGGCTCTGCTCCCCACCGCCTGGAAAGCAAGCAAACAGAGAGTTACAAAAAAGAATTACAAACATGAAGGGAGACCAACCATATTAAATGCTGTTGACAAGTCAAATTAGCTTAGGACTTCTGCAATGATGTATGTAACATTTTGCCGCACAAAAATGTTAAACACAGATCAGGCAAGATGCAAAAATAGCACAAGTTCGCACTCTGTGAAGTCAAGATCTCTCAGCACAACTTCCAAAGCAGAGCAACAAAGAGAGAAACACCTGCCTGGCTCATTGATTTTTAACCTCTCCTCAATTCCAGCATATGCGTTCAGGCTATGATTGTCCCTCTAAGCATGGCTTTAGCTGCATTCCAATGTTTACATACTTAGTATTTTAATTATTGTTTGCTCAAAACATAATTTTAATTGCCATCATGCTTTTTCTCAGGCTTGAGAGTTTTTTAAGAGTACTGATTAATTTCCAAACATATGAAGACTTGGTTATCTTTTTAATGAGTATTTCTAACTTAATCATATCATGGTCAGAGAATACATTTTGTTTAATTTCAATTCTTTGAAACATTTTTGAGACTTGTTTCCCAGCATGAATCGATTTTGGTAAACTTCCAATATGGGCTTGAAAAAAATGTATAACCCTAAGTAGGGGTTATATATGTCCTTTAGGAGAAGTTGGCTGATCATGTTGTTAAAATCTGTATATCCTACTGATATATTTCTGCTTGTTCTATGAGTTAGTGAGAGAGGCAGGGGGTATGTAATAACCTCCCATTGTAATTGTGGATTTGTCCATTTCTCACTTTTTTTTTTTTTTTTTGAGACGGAGTTTCACTCTTGTTACCCAGGCTGGAGTGCAATGGCGCGATCTCGGCTCACCGCAACCTCCGCCTCCTGGGTTCAGGCAATTCTCCTGTCTCAGCCTCCTGAGTAGCTGAGATTACAGGCACGTGCCACCATGCCCAGCTAATTTTTTGTAGTTTTAGTAGAGACGGGGTTTCACCATGTTAACCAGGATGGTCTCGATCTCTTGACCTCGTGATCCACCCGCCTCAGCCTCCCAAAGTGCTGGGATTATAGGCGTGAGCCACCGCGCCCGGCCTTTTTTTTTTTTTTGATTTTCCAAAATGAGAAACATCCTTTTCTTCTTGTCTGTTTTCTGTTATCTGTTCTCTCTCCTGGCATTCGTTCGTGTAGTCTTGTTTCTGCATGTACCTAGCTACTATTATTGTGTGCTTGACATTAAAATTTTAAACATTGTTAATAGAAATAATGAGACCTAGAATGCTGTTGTCTTCCTCCAGAAAGGTATTCAAGTGGTTTCTTCTAGGTGCCGAGGGCACGAGCAATCCTAAGTCCAGCTGTAGAGTTTGATATCATCTGAAACTGAGCAGCAGGTCTCGCCAGGACGTAGGTCCCCTCCAGTTCCCCTCTATGCCCAGGTTTAGTGCTGTGGGGTCCCAACGCAAAACATAAGCCTTCTCTCTGTTACCCTCACAATCTGCAAAAGCACGACTCAGCCCTCAGCCAACTCTTGTGACGCTGGCAAGCGCCCTCAAGGAAAAGTGATCCCAAATGCTGAACTCACCTTTCCCCATGTTTCCATGGCATGGACCCTCCCCCTGCCCTCAGCTCCAGAGCCTCCCAGCAGGCCTTCGGCTTGCCTTTGTTTTGTGCAGCTCCTCTGGGCATCCTCTGTGGAGGGGTTACCACAAACCACCTAGCGCCTTTGCAAAAACCAAAACTCTCACCTCATTTTTCAAAGGAAAAAGCCAAACTTTTTGTTCCACAGAAAGTCTCCCCTTTCAATTCCTAAAGCGATCCCTACCATGGTATCACATCAGGAATGCGATGAGAATCTGAGGGAAAGAGCCTGTGACTGTGGACTCCTAAGGCAGGTAGTATTAAGAACAGAGTTGGCAACTCACAGCACCCAATATGCTAATGCAAAATTCTGTTTCCACCAAAAAAAAAAAAAAAAAAAACCCAGACATGGCGATTCACAACTGTAATCCCAACATATTGGGAGGCTAAGGCAGGAGGATCATTTGAGCTCAGGAAATCGAGACCAACCTGGGCAATATAGTGAGACCTCATCTATCCAAAAAAATTAAAAATCAATTGAGTGTGGTGGCTAACACCTGTAGTCCCAGCTCCTTGGAAGGCTGAGGCAGGAGGATTGCTTGAGTCTGGGAGGTCAAGGCTGCAGTGAGCCATGATCACACCACTGCACTCCGGCCTAGGCAACAGAGCAAGACCTGTCTCAAAAAAACAAAATAAAATAAAATGTAAGCCAATGTCCCCAGTTCCAGTTGAATTCACAGCTACCGTTAAATCCTCTGAGCACATAGGCAAGAAAGAAACACCACTGCCACTTGGTGACAGCATGCTCTAATTGTAGGGAATGGGAAACAAAGGCTGGAAAGTAAGTCACAGATCAGAACATCATCACCACAGGAGGTTTGAGAGCCAAGCCTCTGCCTCAAAATCTGACAGGGAAGGAACGATCTAGAAGACAGATTCTGGAGACATGCTAGAAAAGAGAGCCTGAGTACAGTACAGCCCCTGGCCTTTGCTTCCTGATGCCCTAGGCCCAGCTCAGCCCATCTGCTCACTTTCCCCAGCCCTAGTTCTCACGGTAG